TGGGGTCATTTAAAAATAAAATAATGAATACAGCAATATTCTGTTTTTATCTTTTCAAGAGAAAATGAGATATGCAAAAATATATATAGATTTAAATATTCAGGTTTTCAAACCATGATGCTGCATTTCCACTGGCCAATTGATGCACCACATTGTGTTTTGTTTGATTTGTCTTTTTCAATAATTCATTATGTAATATACACTGCACGAGTCAGTGAGAGGGGGAGGGTCTTCTCAGCAATGCTAACCATTAGCTCACCTCTGAGTCACACTACTATGCACTGAACATGATTATGCATACCCCTCCCTGCACAAATGACCTCTACTTTTTCTCCCATGACCTGGAAACCAATGTACATAATAGTACTGTATGTTGCCTTCTGTTAGAGAAGTGGAGGAGGAGAGGAGCTATTTAAAAACCTCCTCCAGTGGAGGATGTTCACATGCATCCTCTCACTAGGAACTATGCTGACAGTATGGCCAGTATACATTAGACTCTGAACTGAAATTATATTCTGACTTAATAGAGAAAAGAGGATGAATTATACTGTAGTAGTAGTAATGTTTTCATAAATACATGGTAATGTACTTCACGTGTGTATGTGCATGTACATGTAGGCGTGAAAGAGTATTCATGTGTGGTGATGGCTGAAACAGTATGAGAGGAGGCTGGAGAAAGAGGGGGAGAAATGAGCTGTAAAGAGAAACAGAGCGACGGGGAACACAAAACTGACAGATTGGTGTGTCTGGAACGTGTGTTTTAAGTTTAAGGGTTGTATATGTGTTTATTTTTTTGCTTTTAATATATTTATTTTAATTTCTTCTATTTTAAATGTTTGTTCCATTTTGAACTTGCATGCAATACCTTGTTAACATGCTTTTGCATGTGACAAAGATATCCCATATTGTGGTTCAATAAAGTATGTTTAATCAAATCTGATCTAAACTAAGCTTATCCAATATGATAGAATTCATCAGTATGTACATTCTACTACGTGTACTAGTGTTATAGCTGTAACTGATTCATTTTTTAAAGGGATTCATGCGTGATTTAGGTAAAAGGGGATGTTATGTGTGCTTTACCACAAACTGACAGCTGATTCAGTTGAACAGAAATGGAGTTGAAGGCTCTTAGGAGACACCATCAGTACGAAAATTCATTTTTTATGAGAAAGATTAAGGCATGTCGATGTTACACTGCAAGAGAAAAAGATGAGAGCAATTTAAATAGGACTGTAGCACAACACATTTTTCAAAATTATATAATTTTATAGTTTTCTACAGACTAATTGAAAATGATATCTCAAGTTAAGCTTTTTAATTAATGAACTAAGTGTAAGGTTATAATAAAAAGATAACCCTAAAATAAAAAAAAAACAAGCTACATCAGCTTTCAACTCCAATGCACACTGAATAAAACACTACCGTATATTTCGGAGGCCATTTATATGCATGAGTCACTAGCTGAGTCACACTCTGCATATATGATGCCCAAGCACAAACGCCACTCAGACCTCCCTGCTCTCCCCCGACAGTGCCATTAACCCATCTACCCCCCTTACGCTGTTATTAAATTCTTAGTAGATGGGTGTTAAAAAACAAAGAGGAAGGAGGAATGTCTGAACATTTTTGGGGCCACACACCCTAAGGTGGTATTTGTGGAAGGAATTGCTGTAGATGGGTTGCAGCAAATGTGCAGGATTGGACCACAATGCATTTTCAGCCAGCAGATTGATTTGGGTTTGCTTAATTTTGGCCCTTTGCATGTGTCTGCTGGCCAACCGTGAAAAAATCAAAGGCAGACCGCCGTCTCAGGCTGCCAGATGCTTCAGTTCCACCCTGTTTGAGCAAACAACTTTCTCTTCACTTTGCATTGTTGTTCTGTCAGGCACCATTCACTTTAAAGCCTTAATAAAAGTGTGTTGCATAAGGCTCTCTGTGGTCATTGGAGAGGCGAGGGAGTTCGGCCGAGTATTGACTCACAGCAGCATTTTTGAAAAGTATAGAGTTGACTGTGGGTTTTCTTTAGCATTTTTGGGGCTTTTTGCTATCGTGTTGTTATCTCTTTGGAATGATTTTGATAAAAGCAAAACAAGCTGTTCTTTTGTAAAGCAACACTGATGTTAACAAGATAAATGGGAAGTATGTATTTAAAATTACAAATGAAACTGTATTAAAGTCTGTTATCTGTAATCTGTATCTTCTGGAAATATAATATGACGAAAAAAACTAAAACCCCTAACAATTCATGATTGCAAAATGATTTTTATTGTTAAAAAGCATTTACAATTTGAGTTTATCAGCATTTTATATTTATCATTGAGGATTAAGACACATCATACTATCCTCGAGGAGTGTCCATTTTACAGTTACAAAGAAATTACACTTGATAGCTTTTGAAGGCTGATTTAAATATTATTCACACCCCACTTTCACTGTATTTAGGATAGAACAAAGATTGAATCAATAAAGTAATCTAAATAAATAGATTTTCCAACACAACTATTTCCAAGGGCTCTTAATAAAAGCTTTGAAACTTCCTTTGAACAATCACGTTATTCATTAAGGCTGGGCGAGAAGGAAAAATCTCATAACATTCACTCAAAAACGGTTGTTGCGTTCACAAAATCATTTCTAAAAATCATTAAAAGTATTGTGGATGAAATGACTGAAAAAGATATACCTGCTAAAACCCTCTGTTATGAGAAAATTCAGCACACTACTGTAATTCAGCCTTAAAATGAAAGATTGCAATATCAAAACCTAAGATTATAGCTAGTTTAATACCACTGTATTGATATAATACTTGGAAATACTGATTTTTCTTAAGGAACATTTTACTCATTTATTTTAATACGTATTAAAGAAAAACACAACACATGATTACTTGCTACCCCTTTTCCTCAACCTATCCTAAGGGAGTGCATGTACGTAGACACGTTGTGCCTCTCCACCTCTGTTCCTTACTTCTTACTTGCTACCCTTTCCCCTCAACCTATCCTTTGGGAGTGCATGTACGTAGACACGTTAGTTTAGCTGCTATAGGCTTAGACTGTCGGGGGACACCTTACTTCTTCCTTCTCTCTGTCTGTACCTGTGTACTCTCATGTTCCGAATAACCCAGCTTCCCCCAAATGTCTTTTTGGTGTCTATATCCACGCCGGGATCCTGAGTCGTGGCTGATCCTGTTGCTGCGGTCCTGTGTCCTGGATCCTCTATCCTGAGTTCTGGATTTGAGTCCTGGACTTCGAGTCGTGGCTGAACCTGTCTCTGCGGTCCTGCCTGACTCTCATCATACTACTTCCCTGATGGCTCCCACAGGATTGTTGACATCCTCGTGGATTCATCTTCTTATTATAGACACATGCATTTCCAAACATTTGGTCTACCTACGCTGTGAAATGTATTATCTCTTTGATTTACACACGGCATCTATTGCACGTCTGTCCGTCCTGGGAGAGGGATCCCTCCTCTGTTGCTCTCCCTGAGGTTTCTCCCATTTTCCCCTTTAAACTGTGGGGTTTTTCTCTGGAAGTGTTTCCTTGTACGATGTGAGGGTCTAAGGACAGAGGGTGTCGTATTGTCATACTGATATTATGTACAAACTGTGAAGTCCACAGAGACAAATGTAACATTTGTGATATTGGGCTATATAAATAAACATTGATTGATTGATGATTGGTAAATGACTAATGACCTCTTGGCTATGGACACAATGGTAAAAACAATGGAGCTCTTACATTACATAAACTTTGTAATCATGGCTATAATGATAATACTGATACTACTAATACTACGACTACTAATACTTATAATAAAAATAATAAGTTACCAAATACTATTAATTAGTTTATCATAAACTACTATTAATAACACAAAGTTTGGGTTGCCAGGTTGTACTATCATTTTTTAATACTTTTTATATTGAGTTCTAAATGTTGTTTATAAAAGTCTATTTATAAATACTTAACACATTTATATGTTTAATATTATTAATAAAGTCCTATTCAAAGTTTTTTTTTCACAACCTGACAATTATAATAAAAAAATTGAGAATATTTGTTTCTCGGCTGGTATAGCCTAATTATTTAATGATTATTTGTTTTTGCTCTACTGGCAACCAAAATATGTTTCTTATTAGGGGCCAATAACTAATCTTTAAAGTTTTAATAAATACAAATACATATAGTCAAGGTCATTAATTGCAATTTATATTATTATTTAGCATGTTATAGCATACATAAACTGTAGAACTTAGTTAAAGGTGGGGTATGTCATTTATTTCAGAAACACTTTTTGTTATATTCCATGGAATGCTCTTAACATCCCGATAGCAATGAATATATTAAATGCTTTGACAATAAATACATACAAAAATGTAATCTGTGGAAGCCGTAGCGCTGTAAAAAGCACGACCAATCATTTTAGCCGGCCCGGCTAAAATAACTGGATGGCCCGACCTGCCTGTCAGCTTTCCATCTGTGCACAAACTTATCTCGTGCCCTCATTGGTCATGAGCGCGTTCGTGTGTGTTTGAGGAAGGGCTCTGTAAGGAAGTGGCAGATTTTTTCCGGTTGTGTATTTTCAAATTCTAGCGCACTCGAGCTGGCTTCTCCAAAATGACATACCCCACCTCAAGCTCTAAATAAAATGTTTACCTTGTCTGGTAATGAAAACATGAACAATATCCTAAATGCAATTTTTTAAAACTGGAATGTTTATTATTTAAGTATACCTCTTTTATAATTGCTAGGATACAGTCTAACTTGTATTTTCAAAACTGATACAATAATAATATTCCTTAGCATTATTCGAACTGTAGCCTCTTTTCTTGTCTTTTTGTATTATGATTATTGCGGGGGTTTCCCTGTGATGACACTGGCCCCCTTTGAGATTCGCGCACTACTTCCCAGGGTTTGTCCTCTCCTCCGCGGATTGATCCACGTTTGTGAGAAGGCTCTGCTTGTCAGTCAGACTTTGAACAGTGCACTGGCGCTCATCACTGTGCTAATCTCTGGCCGCTGCTTGTCACCATCAACGACGCTCCTACTGACAGTTACCACCGACCTGCTTCAGAGGAATAGATTAGGATGAAGAGTTTCTGAGATAAAGCAGGAAAACACGAGTGCAACACGGTAGGGCGCGAACGGAGATTAAACGTTAGCTGCGCCGTTTAACGTTTAACGGGAGTTGCGATGGTCCAGATAAGGGATATTTTTTTAGCCTTGCTCCTTGTGGTCTGTGCAGGTAAGAACATCTCTCATTCAACACTTCAGATATAAATGTTTATGTTTGACTCTGTGTACTGGCACCCTATAACAGTGGTCCGGACGGCAGGTATCCTCATTCCTCTCGCCCCCTGGTCTTCCTCCTCCTTCCCCTCCTCTCCCTCTGCCCGCAGGCTCTGTTTAGCAGATGCATCGGCAACGGTACTGCGCCTCCCGCTAATTAGCTTACTGGCGAGCAGGGTTGTGTGTTTTTAAGTAAAGACAGCTTGCTGCTAATGTGCTAGGGTACCATTTTATCTGAAGGCAAAGCCACAGTGGGCTACATATTGCGTACACTCTGCGTGACCAGCCTGAGAGCTGACTTAGCTTTATTGTGCATTAAATAAAACATTAATGCTCAAGAAGGACAGGATTTAAAATTGTATTAGCACGAATGGGGGAATTATGTGAATGGAAATGTGGCATGGGGATTTATGTTTTTCTCTGAAAATATGATCGTGTTTTCGGTCTCAGTTCGGATGGGACGTGTTTGTTTTTGATGGGAAGTGATGCTGGGCTCCTTGTATTTGTAGACACACACACACACACACACACTCACACTCACACTCACACTCACACACACAGCCTTCTGGGTTGAGTCACGTTCTCTTAGTTAAAGGTACATTGTGCAAACACATGTTATTATGAAGTGCACCTGACCTGTGTGCAGTGCCATGGCATTTATCGGAGTGGTTATCAACAATGGTTCCTCACTTGAATAAACTACATGAAGGGACAGTTGTGGGTTTATTTCTTCTCTCTGGCACCGCTGCAGAGCAAGCACAACTTCTACTCTGAATCATCTGTTATGTAATCTGATGCCACGATACAGGCTTTGAAATGAGATCCTCTAAGTTGGTTCAAATATGTGTCGTTATGTAAGTCTAAATGAGGGAGTTTTGTGACAAATTACATTTTGAATAGCCTTTCCACGGCATTTTTATTGTTGTTGATTAAAATCAGTAATTTTGACATGTGAGGCGATTATGGTTGGAGTAGTTCTCTCAGCTACACTCAGGATCAGGGTAATCGTGGGATAGCCTTTTAATCCTTATGTACAATTCAATATGTGCAAGGGTGCTCCTCAGGCAGGAAAGAAACGCACAGGGAGTGGAGCCCTGCATTGTAATGAGAACACCATTTGTCTGGGGTTGGAATATTTGATGTAGAATGTCAATATTCAAGACCCTGATGATAGGATTCAGACTTCTATAATTTAAGCACATTCTAATGTATAACGCATGTATCTATCTACCACTACTTACACTAATAATAGGAGTCAACTTGTTAATGTTATGGAAGCATTAGATGAGCTCTGGAAATCCTCTATGTTTGAGAGAGAACATCTTTTAAATGGTTTTAAGTTGTAATCAGTCAGGACATCTGAAGCTATGAGAAATGTGAAGGAGAGTTATACCACATGAGATACTCCAAGTGAAGGATCTTAACAGTTATTATAATTTGGCTATCATACTTTGATGTTTGAGGCTGATATGGATTTTTGCCATTATTAATGTTTGCATGCATTTACATTTCATATCCCAGGGAAAACTTTAGTTTTTATCCAAAACGGTTTTACAAGCCTGCATTTGAATAAATCATGATAACTTTATAAATTACATTTGCCAAATATGAATATTAACTGAATAATGCATAAACGCACTATACAGTAGTGCAACTCTTTAACAGCTAACACCAACTAACTGTCCTGTAAACTTTAATACTGACTTTTCACAATAACATCATAATATAATCTACCGTCACGGTTTCAGAATGTGGGCGTTGACTTGGTGCAGGTTTCTCAACATCCATAGTGTTAGATACAGTTATGATGAATATTGATGTAACAGAGATCGAACTGCATGATTCTGAGCATTTTATAGACTGATCACTATCTCACTAACTAATGCACTATCACTGAAGCTAACATCTATAGGTTTGTTTTGTATTCCTTTACTGAATCTACGGTTGTGTTTGGCCCCTGCACAAATGTCAGAAGAAATACTTTTATAAGGGTTTTTTTTGGAGGTGACTGCACATTTTTTGCAGATTTGGGATGAATTAATCTTTCTCTTCCCCTTCCTCTCCGCCGGCTTCATGCTCAGTGGGTCTGTTGGGCCTCTTGTCAAAATGATTCATTAATCTTGTTCTAACTGATACCTGCAATATGGGAGGATTTCAAGACTGCATTTCTGACAGAAAAATAGCAACCACAAATTATAGTGAGAGAAGCCAACCTGGGTGAGATAATGGATGGGTTTCCAATGTCCTCAATCTTTTTGGTATGATGTATGAAATGCAATCTCCATCTCACCATATGCGTCCCTCTTCAACAGCAAAGTGTAACTCTCTAGTACAGTAGGCTTGTGTTACATCATCAGGCAGGTCATGTGGGAATAATGACGGAGCTGCTCCATTTACAATTCAAGATGGAATCATGGCTCACTGCAAGAGCTAAGACCTCCTCCTCACATCTGACTTAGCTTCCTTTCATAAGGATGGAAATCAACAATGCTCAAAACAATGGAGCTGCTTTTTCCAACATAACCTTTAAAATGTGAATATTTAACATTGTGTGCTGCTGGCAACCTCTTTGTAATTTATTTAGAAGATACAACAAAAAATAGATATCCCTTCCCCCGAAGAAGACACGGCAAGTCCTGTTGGTCTCTCTTCAGTTGCTGCAAGACCACAGCTACAAAGATTGATTGAAGGCAAAGACCTTCCTATTTGGTCCCTGACGTAATGATGAGGCCTATGATATCTAAGGCCCAGGCTCCACGGGAACGCATACGGCAAAATGCATAGGATTAACGCAAACGCAAACGCCAAAAAGCTTCCGTCCACACGCAATATACACCGGATTGTGTCTTGCTACACGAGACAGCTCCATTTAGATCCAACCGCTGGAAAAGCTGCAGTACATATGCCGAGCCTGTACGTGGCGCTGTAACTTCCTCCACAAAAGCAGCAACTTCCTCCACAAAAGCAGCGAAGAAGAATGGTTGTCATGGCTGCACTTCTGTTTATTCTCCGCGGTGGGTGCCGAGGGAACCGGGCAGAGTTTTTCGCCGGTCAACGTGTGTTAAAGTTTAAATCTTCATGCTTCCTCATGCAGCAGCTGATCCAGTAAGTAAACCCGACAGTAAAAATAAACATATTTATAACTAGTTTAGGTAGTTTGAGAGGTAATTAAAATAGCTAAGGGTGATGATCTGACTTGAAGTGTGTGTTTTGCTCCCGCTGCGTGGGGAGGAGCTGCGTGTCTCCGTCCTGTCAGATTAGACTTCACTCGCGTTTATGTCCATATCGAGATAAAGATAAATAATCTGAATTCAGTGTGCAGTGTACTTTTGCGGGGGTGAGCAGCAGAGGCGGGGAGAGGCGGGGCTATTGCGTCGTCATTATCAGAAACGGATGACCGTATAGGCTACCACACGGCCCCGTTGGACCCCCCAGAGCGCTCCGTTCCCAGATCTATCCACCTTTGGACCCGTTGTCGTTTGCAGGGTCCGTTTCTACCGTTCCGTTACGGCGTCGTTTAGCTTAAAGGGCTATACGCAAGAGAAATATGCGGATACAACCCGTTTTCGTTCCCGTGGAGCCTAGGCCTAAGGCACAACATGGTCACACCTTGCAGAACGGCAGCAGCAGGACAACCTTGACCAATAGCAGAAAACCCAAAAGTAGGGTTGCCCTGATTTACCCCTGACCAGAGATGGCAAAAGTACACACATCCTTTACTCAAGTAGAAGTACAGATACTCGTGTTTAAAAATACTCTGGTAAAAGTAGAAGTACTGACTAAACTTCTTTACTCAAGTAAAAGTAAAGAAGTATGGGCTTCGAAAGGTACTTAAGTAAAAATTACCCATAACTACCATCTGTTTTAAAGAGTAACTGACCTCCCTTTATATTAATAGAACAATAATGTCATTGTTGACATTTTTCGATGCTGAACAACCGCAAAATGACAAAGTTCTCATTGGTCCCTCTTTTTTAGAGAAGACCAGGAAATGATGAATACACGGATCGTGTTCAAATCAATAGGCACGCAATGACTCTAAATAATAATGATCACGGCAAACAACACAGATTAAAACTAAAGTAACTAACCTGTTTTGAAAATGTAAGAAGTAGAAAGTACAGGTATTTGTGTTAAAAATGTAAGAAGTAAAAGTACAGGTATTTGTGTTAAAAATGTAAGAAGTAGAAAGTACAGGTATTTGTGTTAAAAATGTAAGAAGTAAAAGTAAAAAGTCGTCAGAAAAATAAGTAGTGGAGTAAAGTACTGATACCAGAAAAATGTACTTAAGTACAGTAACGAAGTATTTGTACTCCACTACTTCCCACCTCTGCCCCTGACCACACACGGCCCTCCTATTTAGTTGAACATGCAGCTTTTATAAAAGCACGATTCTGATGCACTAGAAGAGTCCTTGTCACTCGTCACACTCTTTTTAAAGACCGCCCTGTACGTTTGTAGAAATATAAATGAATGAAATACTCTATGTAAGATGTTCTTTAATTTGGATCCTCTTCGATGCTGTCCCCTCGGGCTAAACAGCCCCCTGCATCGCAGTAGTAGTTCACAGTATACCAGTAGTGTCTCAATAATGTCCAATCTATTGGGTGTATTTTTCAGTTTCGTCAGTTGTATTTTCTTTTCTTTTAATAATGATTCCTTATTACACCCCACAAAGGATCATACTAACTTCATGTCTTTGTTCCACTACCCCCTCTGCCTACCTTGCTCTACAGACTGTTTTCTTCCATTTCATATAATTGGTAGACATGCCAGTGTTTTTCTATTGTATTGTTGTTCTTTTAGTGAAACAATCCCAAATCGATCGGCCGACATGGTTTATTAACGTTAGTCAACTGGTACTGGCACAAAAAACCCCTCTTCCCAAAATGTATTCCTTTTACAATTATATTAAAAACCCATAAATATCATATTTTTCTTAATGAAAAACTCAAA